AAATTTATATTGTTTTGTTTCACACAAATAGAGCTTTCTTTCGGTGGTATTTGATCACCTGTGCGGTTTTTATTTTTTGCACTATAAAAAAAAAAAAAGGCTGACAATTTTGAGAAAAAAAAAACAATATTTTGGACTTTTTGCTATAAAACATGTCCAGTAAAAAAAAAATTAAAAATCAAATTTCGTCATAAATTTTGGCCAAAATGCATTCTGCGACATGTCTTTGCTAAAAAAAAACCCAATAATGTAAATTAATTGGTTTACGTGAAAGCGTTTACAAATGGCGGGGAAAGATACTGGTATTTTTAATTTTTTTTATACTAATAATGGCGGCGATCAGTGACTTTATGGCGGCGATCAGTGACTTATGGCGGCGATCAGCGACTTATGGCGGCGGTAAGTGACTTATGGCGGCGATCAGCGACTTATGGCGGCGGTCAGTGACTTATGCCGGTGATCAGCGACTTATGGCGGGACTGCAGGACTACGGCAGACATTCTGACACTGGGGGGGAACTGACTTGGGGTCACTGACATCCCCATTGACACCAATACAGTGATCAGTGAAAAAAAAAAAAAAAACACTGACACTGTACTAATGGTACTGGGGAGGAAGGGGGTTAACTTTTTTATTTACTGAAAGGGTTAACTGTGTGAGGGGAGTGTTTTGCTAGGGTGTGGGGATGTGTACTGCACGGGGGGGGAGACACGCTGATCAGGAGAGATAAACTCCTCTCCGGCTCAGCATGTCAGGAGCTGACAGGGAACTGACAGAGAGCAGAGCTACTGCAGCCCTGCTCTCTGTCAGTGATTGCCACTAATCAGCGGGACACAGCCGGTAACGACTGGCTGTGACCTGGCGACTGACATCCACGGCCGTGATCGGCAGGACAGGTAGGGCGGGTGGCGCTACCTGTTTTGCAAACACACGTTTTAAAATGTGGTTTTGCCCAGCTTTGCCGCCCTGCCACCGTATTTTCTACAGTGGCTGGGCGGCATGTGGTTAAAGGCATCGGTCACCCGGCCGCCTTCTCCTCAGCTCTTCCTTTGACAGAACAAAGCCTCAGAAACACGTTGTCCAGGAAATGGTAACCTCCCATTATCTGGAAAGGTGCTAAGCAAATTTTTTTAAGGGGTCCTCAAGATGTTTCATCCTCTGCTCCCTCTGCGAAGACTGGATAAGCTCTTGTAACATGAATCAAGAAGGGTTGCCAAACAGTATTAATCCCTCTCTTTGATAACACGAATCCTTGGGTCCTTATGCAGGCTTTGCAGATCAGGGAGCCTATGCAGCGCAAGTTTGAGGAGGCAGGAAATTCTGAGTCCTCCCGGTACTGAGGATGACATTGTCAGGAACTACTAAGCAATATTGTAGTGTGACAAGAACACCCCTACCTGAAAAGAGAAGGTTACTACCTCAGGAACTACCTCCTCTCAACAACGTACTACTCCTGTCTGGGTTTCTGGAGACTGAAAACCGCCCCTTGAAGACTGCTGTATGTGGATCCTCTAATTTCATGCTGCTGCAATCCTCCTCCTCCTCATCTTCCTCCTACTCCTCCTGCTGTGTGTTCTGTGGCCCCGCAGGAATTGTTTCTGCATACAGGGGGCCTTGAGAGGACAGGAAATCCTCCTCTTCCTCCCTCTGTTCTGCCTCAAGTGACCTATCCATTATTCTATGCAGTGTGTGCTCCAGCAGGAAGAATAGAGGGATAGTGTCACTGATACATGTAGTGTCGCAGCTCACCATCTTTGTGGTCTCCTCAAATGGTGACAGGACAGTGAATGCATCCTTTATCAGCAGCTACTGGTGTGGCAAAAAAAATCCAAGTTCCCCTGAGCCTGTCCTTGTGCCATATTCACACAGGTGCTCATTGATGGCCCTCTGCTACGGGTGCAGCCGCTGCAGCATTGCCAAAGTTGAGTTTCCATCGAGTGGACATGTTACAAATGAGTTGGTTGGTGGGCAGGTTAAATTCCCGTTGAATTTTGGCCAGCCAAACACTGGCCGTGTATGACGGAAATGGCCTCAGACCTTTCTGGCCTGCCTCAGAAGATCTTAACAGCCTGGGTACCTGTTCAAGAAATGCTGCACCACCAAATTCAGGACATGTGCCAAGCATGAACTATGTGTCAAGTGTCCCTCTCTGAGGGCGGAGAGAAGGTTGGTGCCATTGTCACATACAACCATTCCTGGCTCAAGCTGCCATGGAGTCAACCATCTCTGAGCCTGCCCCTGCAGAGCTGACAAAATCTCTGGCCCGGTGTGGCTCCTGTTCCCTAGACAGACAAGCTGAAGCACCTTTTAGCCTGACTACTTGTGTAGCCTCTTGAACGCTTACAGGGCACTGCTGGTTCAGATGACAATTCAGCAGAAGAGGCCATAGAGGCAGAGGAAGAGGAGGGGGTGGAGCAAACAGATGTGGCAGAATCACCACTAACTTATTGGAGGCGTGGTGGCAGAACAAGAACAAGCTCCAGCACTGAACCCTGACCTTCATCCTTCCCAGCTGCTAGCAGAGTTACCCAGTGCACCGTAGAGGATATGTAATGTCCCTGACCGTGCCTGCTGCTGGACCACGTGGCAGCAGTAATATGGACCTTTCTGCTGACCGCCCTGTCCAATGAGGCCAAAAGATTGCCTTCCAAATGATGGCACAGAGCAGGAATGGCCTTACATGAAAAGAATTGTCTTTTCCACACACCTGCCACTGTGGTACAGCACATTCTGCAAATTCATGGTAGGGGGCAGAGTCCACCAGATGGAAAGGTAGCAGTTGTAATGCTAGCAATTTGGCCAGGCTAGCATTTAGATACTGTGCATGTGGATGGGTGGGACAGTATTTTTTTTTTTATGGTTCAGCAACTGGGGTAGCGAAATTTGCCTGCGGAAATCAATAGGTGGTGTACTGCCATCAGATGGGGTGCCAGGACCTGTGGCACTCACTGCTGTACCATCGCTCCTCTCAGTGGAGGCTGTTGAGAAGACCTGATATTATACAGTAGAGGTAGAGACCCCAGATGAGAAAGAAGAAGTCTGCACTTTTTTTGGATGTGGGTTTTTCAGGTGCTGTTGCTAACGGGCTGCATGGCAGCTCGTCATATGTCTTGTCAAGCATGTGGTGCCCAAGTGGCTGGTGTTTTGGCCACGTTTGATCTGCTTCAGACAGTCTGCTGCACATGTGTTGAAGGAAGCCCACACCAGAGAACTTTTGGAAGTCTGCCAGGAGTCAGCAGCACCCTGCACCTGTGGAGCGCTGTTGTGTGATGTCATTGGTTGGCTGCCCTTACTCCTGCCCCTGGAGAACATCCTGCCTCATTGGAATTCTGCCTCCTCCTCACTTTCCTCCTCTGTTCTCTCAGGCACCCAAGTATGGTCAGTGAACTCCACATCCCCTTCCTCCTCGTCACTGGAGCCAACTTGGCAGTGTGCTGCAACTGGGGGAACATGACTGCCAATTTATTTTCCCTCACTGGCACCCCCTCTCTCTAGGCTCATGTCACTCCTTTCCTCAACCTGGGAACCAACATGGGAGCATTCAAATTGCTGAGCATCCTCCAGCAGCATGTAACTGACACTATGAGCAAATAATTCTGGTGACTCCTCCATGCATGATGGTGGGGCTACGAAAGGAGCAGCTGTGGTGGACAAGGAACCTGTGGAATAGGCCGCTTTGGCAACTGCGGTGGAAGACAAAAATACTATGAGCCTGGGTGACAGAGGATGAGGAGGATGAGGATGGCTTAGTTATCCACTCCATCACCTCTTCTGCATTGTTGTGGCTCAATAATAAATACGGCCAGCATTGGAAAAAAAAAAGGACAAGCGCGCCCTGCCTTCAGAGGATACACCATGTCCACGACCATCACTTTTCACTGTGGACACAGAGGCTGCTTGCCCTCTCTTAGCTGCCTGTGAGCACCTGCCTCTCCTTGGCCTTTTGGACATGATGGGGATTTTTAGGTGGATTTATATCACTTTATTTTTCTGTACAGGATGGGATTTTTTGGTGCTTGGGTGCGCTATAAACTGTTTTATTATTTTTTTTTTGTTCTTATAACACTGCACAAAGCTGCTGAATAAGCAGCCTTATATAGTGTGGGGCGTGGACTTGGACCCTAAGCCATGACTGGCCAAAGTCACCAAGACTTTGGCCAATCATGGTTCTTCCTGTGAACTAGAGCTGTGATTGGCCAAAGCATTGCACCTGACCTGTGGTCAGGTGCAATGCTTTGGCCAGTCACAATGTGCCGCCAGAGTGCATTGCTTTGTGGGGCGTGAACATCCCACCGAACGCCCCATATGTTCATGTGTTTGGTGAACACACAAACAGCCAATATTCAGTCTCTTCTCGCATTACTAACCTAGTAAGCTAAATATCGGCATGGATGTCACTCCACTTCCTCAAAACTCGCTGTCCAAGTCTTGTAGACTTCACTTCCGCAACATCTCCAAGATACGGCCGTTCTTAACCTCGGATACTACTAAGCAACTTATTCACTCCCTTGTTATCTCTCGACTTGACTATTGTAACTCCCTCCTCATTGGCCGACCTCATCGCAGGCTATCCCCTCTTCAGTCTATCATGAATGCTACTGCCAGACTCATCCACCTTACTAACCGTTCTGTATCTGTCACCTCCCTCTGCCAATCACTCCACTGGCCTCCACTCAGTGTCCTCCATCCCTCTCTGCCAATCCCTCTACTGTCCACAACTCAGTGTCCTCCATCCCTCTCTGCCAATCCCTTCACTGGCCTCCACTCAGTGTCCTCCACCCCTCTCTGCCAATCCCTCCACTGGCTTCCCATTGTCCAACTGATAAAATTCAAAACATTAACAATAACTTATAAAATTAACCCCTTAGGTTCCACAGTGAGTATAACAAGCACGCTTTACTGCATCTACAGACTGATTGCACTGTTGTGGGTTCAGTAACACTTTAAGTGAAATTAGCCTTTAGTATAGAAATAATGAATAACTGTCTTTCCTTGTACAGTTAAGCCGCAGACGGCGCTGAGCCATGATCAACACATTGAAGTTGGAATCAGGGGATCTGTCCGTTGTGAAGTCAGCAATTTTTACCCAGAAACTGTGAAGATCCGATGGGATAAATCCAGTAAAAGTAACAGCAGGAACTCATCTTGGGACAAGGACGTTTGTTTCACAACACCTTTGGGGAACAGCGATGGGACATTTAATGTGACCAGTGTGCTGACTGTGGAGCCGACTACCGACGCTGAACCCGGAGATGTATTATTCTGTATTGTCAGCCACAGATCCCTGGAGGAGGAAATGACTCTCAGCTTTATCATGCCAAGTAAGTAGCCTTAGAATAGGATATCAGCAGAATTCGGCTCCGACTGCCTTCCACAAATCCCAGATCTTTCAGATTAGATCCAGAGATTTCTTAGCGTGATGTGTCCGAAACACCAAATACTTGGGCCGCATTCACTACCCAGGAAAAAGCGTTTTTACAGGCAATTTTGGAAAGTTTTTTTTCTGCATTTCTTTTTTTTCAGATGTATTCAGGCTTGGGCAATTTTATTTCAGCCAATGGAAAGCTAGTTACTAGGAGGAGGAGAAGGTTATTTATGTTAAAAAAAAATATTTATTCAGGCACTCCCACTGAAGTCTAGACATGTGCAGAACAAAATCATTAGTTTTGTTTAATTTCGGATCAAATCGTTAAGTTACTAATTTCATTAATAACAAAATTTGTTTAGTTTATTCACTTTTGACCAGATTTAAATTTTTCCAATGGATTCGAACTGGAATTCAAATTGGAATAAAATTCATTATCAAAAATATTTAATCGATCCAAATTCTATGTGAAGAATAGCTGATTCTATTCTAGTCACAATTCAAATTTCAGAAGAATACTATATTTTTTCTATTCTACTGTATTTTATTTTTCTATTCTATTCTTTTATTTTCTATTTTATTTTTTTGTTGTTCTATTCTTTTCTAATCTATTTTATGATATTATATTCTTTTTGAAATTTGGAAGACAGCTATATTCTATTCTATCAACTTCTTTTCTATTCTATTCTTTCAAATTTGAATTTCAGAAGATGGCTATATGGGCGGCACAGTGGCTAAGTGGTTAGCACTTCTGCCTGGTAGTACTCGGGTTGTTGGTTCAAATCCCAACCACAGCACCACCTGCCTGGAGTTTTCATTTTCTCCCTGTGCCTGCGTGGGTTTCCTCCAGGTACTCCGGTTTCCTCCTCCCACACTCCAAAGACATGCTGGGAGGTTAATTGGCTCCTGTTTAAATTGTCCCTAGTATGTGTATGTATGAATGTGAGTTAGGGGCCTTAGATTGTACACCCCTTGAGGGATAGGGACTGATGTGAATGTACAATATACTGTATATATGTAAAGAACTGCGTAAATTGATGGCGCTATATAAGTACCTGAAATAAATAATCTATTCTTTTCTATTCTTTTTTTATTCTTTTATACTCTATTCTAGTCTATACTCTTCCTTTATTTTCTATTCTATTCTGTTTTAGTCTATTCTTTTCGTTGGATGCAGTGGTTTAAAGCATACTGCCACTGATCCATAAAGACATAGATGAGTGAGTTTGGGGTGGAGAAACTTGACTGGCCTGCAAAGAGTCCTGACCTCAACCCCATAGAACACCTTTGGGATGAATTAGAGCGGAGACTGCGAGCCATGCCTCCTCCCCCGACATTGCCTGACCTGACAAATGTGCTTCTGGAAGAATGGTCCAACCTTCCCATAGACACCCTCCTAAACCTTGTGGACGGCCTTCCCAGAAGAGTTGAAGCTGTTATAGCTGCAAAGGGCGGGGCCAACTCAATATTGAACCCTATGGACTAAGACTGGGGGGCCATTAAAGGTCATGTGTGTGGAAAAGGGCGGGGGCAACTCAATATTGAACCCTACGGACTAGGACTGGGGGGACATTAAAGTTCATGTGCGTGGAAAGGCCGGCGGCCCAATATTCGGGGCAATATAGTATATCTTGTCAACAAACTGACATGGATGCTGGGTGATGTCACTCACCAAATATGGTCATGGCCAGTTTTGATCAATGACATCATGCAGGACCCCTGCCATTGTGTTTACAATGTGAAACAACCTGTAAGGTACCTGGTGGTAGAACCTGAAGTGCAGAGGAAGGCTTCCCTTGCAGCTCTGGCTCAGGGGCCCTGGCAGAGTAACAGGGAGTGCCGGGGCACAGAGGTGCATGAGTGCCTGGTAGGACTTCTGTGGATGGATGTTGACGTGCGTCAGGAATGCAGGAGCAGCTGGTGGATGGCACACTGGCAGAAGTGCAGGAGCAGGATACTGGCAAGGATAAGCTGGTTCAGGTGCAGGAGCAGAGTAAGGCAAGGTCAGGCGGTCCGGGTCGGCAAATAACAGGCAGAGTAAGCAGAAACGGCAGGCAGAAGAATAGACAAAGGGCAGGCCAGGGGTCAGTGCAGGCAGAGTTCAAGCAGGATCAATAACAGGTCAGATCAGCAACGGAATCACAGGTCACAGGATGCAGGGGTGCTCAAAAGTAATAGACAAAATGGCACTAATGCAAGGTACGAGCCCAGCTTAAATAGGGGTGTTCTATGGAGTTGAGGTCAGGACTCTGTGCAGGACAGTCAAGTTCTTCCACCCCAAACTGGCTCCTCCATGTCTTTATGGACCTTGCTTTGTGCACTGGTGTGCAGTCATGTTGGAACAGGAAGGGGCCATCCCCAAACTCTTCCCACAAAGTTGGGAGCATGAAATTGTCCAAAATGTCGCCTTAAGATTTCCTCCTTTCACTGGAACTAGGGGGCCAAGCCCAACCCCTACACCATAATCCCCCCTCCACCAAACTTACCATCAACTTTACAGTTGGCATAATGCAGTCAGGCAAGTACCGTTCTCTTGGAAACCGCCAAACCCAGACACGTCCATCGGATTGCCAGACAGAGAATTATGATTGGTCACTCCAGAGAATACGTCTCCACTGCTCTAGAGTCCAGTGGTGGCGTGCTTTACACCATGGCATCCGACGCTTTGCATTGCACTTGGTGATGGAAGGCTTGGATGCAGCTGCTCGGCCATGGAAACCCATTCCATGAAGCTCTCTACGCACTGTTGTTGGGCTCATCTGAAGGCCACACCAAGTTTGGAGGTCTTTAGCTATTGACTCTGCAGACAGTTGGCGACTTCTGCGCACCGTGCGCTTCAGCATGCGCTGACCCCGCCCTGTCATGTGACGTGGCCTACCACTTGGTGGCTGAGTTGCTGTTGTTCCCAGTTGCTTCCACTTTGTTATAATCCACTAACTGAGCGTGGAATATTTAGTAGCCAGGAAATGTCACGGATGGACTTATTGCCCAGGTGGCCACCTATCACGGGACCACGCTTGGAGTCACTGAGCTCCTGAGAGTGACCCATTCTTTCACCAATGTTTGTTGAAGCAGTCTGCATGCCTAGGGGCTTGATTGTATACACCTGTGTCCATGGAGGGGATTGGAACACCTGAATCACATGATATGGAGGGGATTGGAACACCTGAATCACATGATATGGAGGGGATGGGAACACCTGAATCACATGATATGGAGGGGATTGGAACACCTGAATCATATGATTGGGGAGGGCAGTCCCTGTACTTCAGGCAGTATAGTGTATATTTAGTGAGCGGATACCTTGAACACTAGTAGCCTCCTATTCTACCTATTCTAATCTAGTAATATAAATGCTTCACCTGCAATGATAAATGTACAGTCAGTATATATAGAAGTGTTGGGTTCTCCAGACATGCAGGACTGAGATAATATCTGTTGTTTTTTTTTTTTTTATAGGACGGAATCCAGGAATAGGTTTTTCTATTGCTTCAGCTGTTGCATTCATAATCTCATATTTAACATACTTTTTGAGGATCTATTTTAATGAAAGTAAGTTTTTGCTATTTTATCTGGAAGTAAATAAATGCCGCAAGGTGTGTATATGTCATTAGAACGGTTATATAACCTCAGATTAGACGTGCAGAACAAAAACATTCATTAGTTTCAAATTCTATTTTAGGTTACTAGATTTGTTTTGTTGCATTTGTAATGAAATTTGTTTAAAAAAGGAAAGGAGAGCGAAAGGAAAGGAAAGGAAAGGAAAGGAGAGGAAAAGGAAAAAAAAAAAGGGAAAGGAAAATGAAAGGAAAGGAGAGGAAAAGGTATGGAGAGGAAAAGTAAAGGAAAGGAGAGGAGAGGAAAGGAAAGGAAAGGGAAAAAAGAGGAAAAGGAAAGGAGAAGAAAGGAAAAGGAAATGAGAGAAAAAGTAAAGGAGAGGAAAAGGAAATGAAAAGAGAAGAAAAGGAAAGGAGAGGAAAGGAAAGTAGCGAAAAAGGAAAGGATAAGGAAAGGAAAGGAAGAGGAGAAGAAAAGCAAAGGATAGGAATAGAGAGGAAAAGGAAAGGAAAGGAGAGGAAAAGGAAAGGAGAGGGAAAGGAAAGGAAGGGAAAGGAGAGGAAAAGGAAAGGAGAGGAAAAAGAAAGGAAAGGATAGGGAAAAAAGGAGAAGAAAAGGAAATGAAAGGAGAGGAAAAGGAAATGAAAGGAGAGGAAAGGAGAGGAGAGGAAAGGAAAGGAGAGGAAAAAGGTAAGGAAAGGAAAAAGGTAAGGAAAGTCAAGGAAAGGAAGGGGAAAGGAAAAGGTAAGGAAAGTCAAGGAAAGGAAAGGAAAGGAAAGGAAAGGAGAGGAAAGGGTAAGGAAAGTCAAGGAAAGGAAAGGAAAGGAAAGGAAAGGAGAGGAAAGGGTAAGGAAAGTCAAGGAAAGGAAAGGAAATGAAAGGGAGAGGAAAGGGTAAGGAAAGAAGGAAAGGAAAGGAAAAGGTAAGGAAAGTCAAGGAAAGTCAAGGAAAGGAGAAGGAGAGGAAAGGAAAAGGAGAGGAAAAGAAGAAGAAATGAGAGGGAAAAAGAGAGGAGAGGAAAGGAAAGGAGAGGAGAAGGAAAGGAAAGGGAAAGGGAAAGGAGAGGAAAAGGAAATGAAAGGAGAGGATAAGGAAAGGAAAGGAAAGGAAGAGGAGAGGGAAAGGAAAGGAAAAAAGAGGAAGGAAGGAAATGAAAGGAGAAGAAAAAGGAAAGGAGAGGAAAGGAAAGTAGCGAAGAAAAAAAGGAAAGGAAAGGAAAGGAAAGGAAAGAAAAAGGAAAGGAAAGGAGGAAGGAGAGGAAAAGGAAAGTCAAGGAAAGTCAAGGAAGAGGAGAGGAGAGAAGAGAGGAGAGGGAAAAGGAAAGAAAGGAGAGGAAAAAGGAAAGGAAGAGGGAAAGGAGAAGGAAGGAAAAGGAAAGAAAAGGAGAGGAAAGGGGGAAAAAGGAGAGAAAAGGGGAGAGGAAATGAAAGGTAGGAAAAAGAAAGGAGAGGAGAAATGAAATTAAAGGAGAGGAAAAGGAAATTAAAGGAGAGGAAAGGAAAGGGAAAAAAAGGGAGAGGAAAAGGAAATGAAAGGAGAAGGTAAAGAAAGGAAAGGAAAGGAGAGGAAAGGGAAAGGATAGGAAGGAGGGAGGATAAAGGAAAGGGAGATGAGGGAAGAAAGGGAGAGGAAGGAAAGAAGAGGAAAAGAGGTCAAGAAGAGAAAGGAATTAGGAAGGAAAGGAAAGAGTAAGGGAAAGGGAGGGAAAGAAAAAGGAAAGAGGAAAGAAGGGAAGGAAAGTCAAGGAAGAGGAGGGAGAAAGAAGGAAGAGGAGAGATGGAAAAGGAAGTGAGAGGAGGAAAAAGGAGGGAGAGGGACGGAAAATGGGGAAAGAGGGAGGGAAGAAGGAAGAAAGAGGAGGAGGAAAGGGAGGGGAAAGAAGGAAGGGAAAGGAGGGAAGGAGAGGAAAGGGGAGCAAAAGGAAAGGGGAAGGAGAGAGGAGGAAAGCAAAGGGAGAGAAGGAGAGGAAAAGAAGATGAAGGAGAGGAAAAAAAAGGAAGAAAGAGAAAGATGAGGAGGGGAGAAAAAGGGGGAAAAAGGAGAGGAGAAGGAAAGGGGAAAGAAGGAGATGGAGAGGGAAGTAGAGAGGAGGGCGAGAAGGGGAATGGAAGAAGAGAGAGAGAAGGAAAGAGGAGAGAAAAAGGAAGGAAAGGAGGAAGGAACAAGAGGAAGAGGAAGGAAGAGGAAAAAGGGGTCAAGGAAAGAGAGAGAAGGGAGAAGGGAAAGAGAAAAAGGAAAGAGAAGAGGAAAAGGAAAGGAAGGAGGGAAAGGAATGGAAGGGAAAGGAAGAAGAAAGGAGAGGGAGAGGAAAGAAGGAAGGAAGGAGAAAAAGAGGAAGAGAGAGGGAGAGGAGAGGAGAGGAAAGTGAAGAAAAGGAAGAAAGGAGGAGAGTAAAGAGAGGAAAAGAAGAAGGGAGAAGGAGAGGAAGAGAAGAGGAGGGGGAAAAGGGGGAGAATAGAAGAGAAAAAAGGGAAGAGGAGGAGGAAAGAGAGTGAAAGGAGGAAAAGAGGAACGGGGAAAGGGGAGAAGGGAAAGAAGGAAAAGAGGAGAAAAGAGAGAAAAAGGGGAGAGGAGAAAGGAAAGAAGAGGAAAGAGAAAAAGAGAGAAAAAAGACGGGGAAGAAGGGGAAGAGGGGAGGGGGGAAGGAGAAAGAGGAGAGTGGAGAAGAGAAAAGGAAAGAGAAGAAAAAAGAGGGAGAAGGGAAAGGAAGAGTAAAAGGAGAAAGAGGAAAAAGGAGAAAAGGGAGAAGGAGAAGAAAAGAGGAAAAGAAAGGAAGGGAAACGGAGGAGGGAAAAAGAAAAGGAAAAGGAAGAGAAGAGGAAGGGAGAAAGGGAGAGAGAAAGGGAAAAGGAAGAAGGGAGGAGAAAAAAAGAGAAGAGGAAGGGAGAAGGAAAAGAGCAGAAAAGGAAAAAAGAAAGAGGAAAAAAGGAGAAGAAGAGAGGGAGAGAAAGAGGGACGAAGAAAGAAAGGGGGAAAGAGGAAAAAGAAGGAAAAGGGGGGAAAAAACGAAAAGGAGAGAAAAAAGAAGGGGAAAAAGGGTAGAAAAGAGGGAAGAAAGAGGGAAAGAAAGAGAAAAGAGGGGGAAAAAGGAAGAGGAGAGAGGAAGAAAGAAGAGGAAAGAGGAGGGAAGAAAAGGGAGGAGAAGGGGAAAGGAGGAAGGAAAGAAAAAAGAAGGAAAGGGAAAGAGAAGGAGAAGGAAAAAAAGGAAGAGAAGAAAAAAAGGAAAAAGGGAGAGAAAAAGAGGAGAAAGGAAAGAAAAAAAAGATAAGAAGGAAAGAGGAGGGGAAAAGAAGAGGAAGGAAAGGGAAGGGAGAAAAAAAGAAAAGGGAAAGAAGGGGAAAAGAAAGAAGGAAGAAAAAAGAAAAAGGAGAAAGGAAGGGAGAAAAAAGAGAAGGAGAAAAGGAAGGAAAAGAGAAGGAAAAAAAAAGAAAAAAGGGAGGGGAAAGGAGAAAAGGAAAAAGAAAAAAGAAAAAAAAAGAGGGAAGGGGAAAAGAAAGAAAAAGAAAGGAAAAAGGAAGGAGGAAAAAAAAAAGGAAAGGAAAGGGAAAAGAAGGGGGGAAAAGAAAAAAAGAGAGGGGAAAAGGAGAGGAATTAGAAAGGAAGGAGAAAGAGAAAGGGGGAGAAAAAGAAAGAAAAAAAAAAGGGGGAGAAAAAAAGAAAGGGAAAGAAAAGGAAAAAAGAAAAAAAGAAAAAGAGAAGAGGAAAGAGAGAAAAAAGGGGAAGGGAAAAAAAAGAAGAAAGAAGAAAAGAAGGAAAGAAGGAAAGAAAGAAAGAAAAAAGGAAAGAAAAGAGAAGAAAAGAAAAAAAAAAAGGGGAGAGAGGAGGAAAAAAAAAGAGAAAAAGAAAAAAAGAAGAAAAAGAAAGAAGAAAAGAAAAAAAAAGGAGAGAAGAAGAAAAAAAAGAAGAAAAGGAGAAAGAAAGGAAAAGGGAAAGGAGAAGAAAGGAAAGGAAAGGAAAAGAGAGAAGGAGGAAAAAGAAAAGGAAAAAAAGAGAAGGAGAGAAAAGAAAAGAAGAGGAAGAAAGGGGGGAAGAAGGAGGAGTTGAGAGGGGAAAGGAGGAGAGGAGAGGAAAGGAGAAGAAAAGAGGAAAGAAAAAGGGAAGAGAAAGAAGAAAGAAGGAAAGAGAAGGGAGGAGGAAGAGAAGGGAAAAGAGGAAGAAAGAAGAGAGGAAGAGAGGAAAAAAGAAAAGGGGGGAAAGGAAAGGGAAAAAAGAAGAAAAAAGAAGAGGGAAAGAAAGAAAGAAAAAGGAAAAGAGAAAAAAGGAAGAAGAGAAAAAGAGGGGAGAAAGAGAAAAGAAGGGAGAGGAGAGAAAAGAAAGAAGAAAAGATGAGGAGAGAAAGAGAGAAAAAAGAGGAGAAAGAAAGGAGAAGAAAGAAGGAGGGGAAGAGCGAAAAAGAAGAGAAAAGAGAAGAGAAAGAGAGAAAGAGAAAAAAAGAAGAAAGAGAGAAAAAGGAAAAAAAAGGAGAGAGGAAGGAGATGGGGAAGAGAAGAAAGAAGAAAAAAAGAAAAAAAAAGAGGAGAGAAAAAAGAAAAAAGAAAAGAGGGGGAAGAAAGGAGGAGAAAAAAAAAAGAGGAGGAGGGGAAGAAAGGAAAAAAGAAAAGAAAAGGAAAAGAAGGAAAAAGAAGAGAAGAGAGAGGAAAAAAAAGAAAGAGAGAGGAAAGGAGAAAGAAAAAGAGGAGAGAAGAAGAGAGAAAGAAGAAAGAGGGGGAGAGGAAAGAGGAGAAGGAAAAAGAGAGAAGAAGAAAGAAGAAGGAAAAGAAAGAAAAAAAGAGGGAAAAAAAAGAGAAGGGAAAAAAAGGGAAGGAGGAAAATGGGGAGAGGAGAGAGAAAGAAGAAGAAAAAAAAAAAAAAAAAGAGAGAGAGAAGAAAAAGGGGGAGAAGAGAAAGAAGAAAGAAAAAGGGAAAGAAAAGAAAGAGGAAAAGAAGAGGGAGAAAAAGGAAAAAGAAAGAAAGAAGAGGAAGAGAGGAGAAGAAGAGAGAGAAGAGGAGAAAAA